CAGGAACAATTTTGCTATACCTATTTAATTCATTTGTTGTTCAATAATGGAAAAAATGTATTACCTTGCATATTTCCTTATTAGTTTTTTGCAGCCAGGAAATTGAGAACTACTGTTGTCTTATCTGCAGGAGATCCGTTCTGGACCCCCTCCCCCCGCAGATAACAAAAAATTCAGGCCCCCAAGTCTCATGGCTGCTTTATGTGCATGGTGTGTGCACATCCATTTAAAACAATGGGGCTTGCTGTCTGCAGAAGCTCAAGTGTGCAAGCCTGCATATAAGACAAGGCCACTGTATATGTGTTGCACACTTCTGAATGTTTCGTTTGTTTACTTAGACAATAAAACCATCACTATTACTATATTTTATGAAGGAATTCATTTTTTTTCTACCAACACTTGTTTTTCAGGAAACATGATGATGGTTTAGATTTTTTTGCATATAAAAAGAAAAGTGAAACATGTGTTCTTGAAGGGCCACACTTCTTGCAAAGATTTGAGTGCTTGAAGTGACATCATTGTTTGAGTCCTTTAACTATTTATTCCATAAAACTACAGAAAATGGTTTTAATTAGTTCTAACTATGCTGTTGGTTTTTGTATTGTAGAAAATTACTACTGAGGACTGGATTGAACACATCAATTAATTTTACATAGGCCAATGAGTGGCCGCCAAATGGTACAGACTTTGTTATTACTGACCTGAACTGGAGTTGAACCAGAAACCTGTAATTGAAAGATTCGATAGCTGACCCCTTACTAATCCAGTTCCACCTGCAGGTCTTTATTACTTGAAATACATAGAAAATCACATTAGACACAGGTGTGCCATGCCAGATTTAGTGTCCCTTCCAGGAGCACAGCAGCTTGTGTTAATATAGCTCCATGCAAAGTGAATGTTCATTTCTAATCTTTCCCCTTTTTCCCCGTAGAATGTAAATTAGTAGACCAAAATCAAACAAAACAAAAATCTTACGTTAATACCTTATGGTGTGCCATGGTGAAAGCAGCTAAAGATCTAAGAGCTCAAGTCTGGGCAAACACATAGCTTGCAGGTTAGGTTCAGCTGTGCAGTTACCTGTATTTTCCAGTGAGTTTGCATAATGCTGCTGGCAGTGGGCAGAGGCCACACATGATAATTCTGGCAAATATTCTTCCTGCAAGGATACTTGAAGGAATGAGTTTGAATTGCAGCCTACATATGTAAAGCTAAGAATTCTCCGTTGTTACAAGTAAGCTAAGAAGTGACTCAAGTCACATAGAAGAAAGGATCCAGGATTCTTAATAGGTTGACATAAACAATAACTTCTTATCCTCAAGACCAAGCGTGCATTGTCACGTTTTCCCCCTTTCTTTCTCTAGTCTGAATGTGCTCATTCACTGCGTTGAGCCTTCTTATCCCATGCAATGCTTAGCCTGTTGAGACTTTTGATCTCCAGCCAGGTCTCGCATAAATTTCCTCAAACATATTTTCATAGGGAGGCAATGGAGAAATAAAAAATGACTCAATCTCCATGGTGGGTGAAAATGAAAACCTTTCTTTCCAGAAAAAAGTTGCTCAGTAAATGCAAAAATGGACACAAGGATTTCTTGTACAAAATGTGATTGTGTGAAAGGCAATATATAATTCTTCCCCAAGTACTAACAAAAAAAAAAAAAATTAAAAAAAGAAAAGAAAAAAGAAAGAAAAGAGGACATTACAAAGGTTGATTTTGAAAAGTAAGCTTCCATTTTGTCTTAACTGGCTATTGTGCATTCAACTTCATAAAAAACATGAATTTTATATAAAGAAATGATTACATTAAAAACAATACTATCATGCGTGTAAAACACATGGCTTAAAACAGGGGTAGGCAACCTTTCCCCTTTAAGGGCCGAGGGACTTCAGCTCCCAGAAGCCTCAGCCATGTTGGCCAATAGTCCCATGTTGGCCAATAGCTCCTAGGATTCTGGGAGCTGAAGTCCCTCGGCCCTTAAAGGGGAAAGGTTGCCTACCCCTGGCTTAAAACCTGGGTGGTGGATGAAGAGAGAGTGTAAAATATGTCTGCATTAAAATGTTAAGGCTTTGTCTATAAGAATGTAATGACCCCTCCCCCTTAACATGTATAGATCACTTGCATAGTTCTAAACCAGTTCCTTAAATTTTCTGCATATTTTCAGAGCTTTCCTTGAAAAAAATGAAAACCAAGGACTTTTTTCAGAACTTAGAAAGATAACTTTTCTGTCACCCCATATTTTCCTATCTGAGAAGTGCACTTGGCCAGCTCTTAACCCACACCCCCAGTACTTTCTCTGCAGTATGAGTTGTAGTAGCACAAGCTGTGTCTTTCTTGGGAGATTATTAAATGCCCCCCCCCAAAAAGTGACTTACCCCTTCCGGGATACAATTGCTTACGGGATGCAGTTGGGTATTGTCATGTTAAAAATGCCACCAATGACTACATCCCAGCTAAATCCCAGCTCCCACCTGTGCTCAGCTGGCTTGACAAACGGGGAGCTCCCGTCTTTGCAAATCGGCCGGCTGAGTGCTGCTGGGAGCTGGGATTTAGCCAGGATGTAGTCACCCAGCAACATCGGTGGCATTTTTAATGTGATAATACCTGACTGCATCCCATAAACAACTCTATCCTGGAAGGGGTAAATCACTTTTTTTTTTTTTTGGCATGCAATAATCTCCAGCCACATGCTGACATGATAATAATCATACCATAATAGTCAGTGGGTCCAGGTGATGAAGAGGGAAGCAAGGAAAGGACTAGCTCTCCCCCTTTCTCCATTTTTTCCTGCTGATATTTGCAAGGTAAGGTAAGGAGTTTTTTTTTTTAATGGTAACGCCAAGGCTTTTATGAACAAGGAGCATTGCGACAAGCAAGACTTGAATTTGACTGAAATTAGAAAAAAAATTGGAGGCTTAAAGACTGTGCCTCATTTAAGGCTGGTTTTTACAACTTTTAAAATTTTAAATCTGACCCTGGCACACGAGTTTCCCCTCCATCCTGGCAACTCTTTTTAGATACTCAGTGAAAAGGGAAAATCACGGTTGCACATACTGTTTGTACTTCCAGTCTCTTTCTGTTCAGCTAACACAAGTATCTAAGGTCGGCGTCTTGAATGTACAGTGTTTCCAACTATAGAAGGAGAGTTTGCATGCATACTGTTGAAAAACTGGGAATCGGTCCAATTGTTCTTGTCTTATCAAGACAAAATAGAACTAGGAAGACAACAGCCAAAAGCTTATACCACTTCATCTGAAAACTTGTGCATATTTATTGTAGGTCTGGAACTGTTGATCTAGAGGAGTGAGGTTTCCACCTTCTTCTTTGAGTTGTCAGCTTATTAAGTGTGTTGGTATTCTTTCAAACTTTCCCCCTTAGAAAATGAATAACAACTGTAAAGCACCTTTCTTCTGACAGCTTTTGAATGAGAATCAGTATAGTGTTTTTAAGGTTTCCTTTTTCATCTTTTTGGTTATGAATTCTGCATTTCTGCACCCGTGCACAGAAAGAGTAATGGGCAATCTCTTTGTCTCTGGGGTACACTGTGTTACATTCTGTTCTATACAAAGAGAGAGAGTTATTAACAGTACCTTTTTAATCAGCTTGAATGTCTTGAGAAAGACAGTAGGTTCTTTATAACTATCAAGCTGAACACATTTTTAAAATGCACCCTGCATACTTTTTTTTATTTTTTTGCTTCAGGTGTTGAGAAAATACTTGATTGCTATTTCTTAGTTTCAAAAACCAGTCTTAGCTTGTCCTCTGATCAAGTAAAGATATAGGATGCTCTTTTTTATAGCAGGCCATGCTACATGATTAAACATACGAGGTTTTAACTTGTAAATACTTGATAAAAATAAATGGTGCAATCAGCAAGATGAGGTGTGTGTGATGGTTTGCTAGGTGTGAAAACCTTACACCTGAAAAATCAATTTGTGTGACTTTCATGTGCTGTAAGAATGTTAGGTTGATGTTGCATCATTTTGGTTTTTTAATGAAATGTATTCTGCATTAAAATCCATGCTGTTTTATCTACTTGTTGTGAACACCCAGATGTTTCCAATAGCTGGGAAGAGAGCCATTGTGCTTTTCTGTGGGTTTTCCAGGCTATGTGGCTGTGGTCTGGAAGAATTTATTCCTGATGTTTTGCTTACATTTATGGCTGGCATCTTCAGAGGGTGGTGGCATGGAAGTATGTGGGCTATATATACTTGTGTGACCCTTGATTGGGAGGAAATAATTTACATCTTAATCTGTCTGCTGGTCTATTGTTGAATGGTAAGGCCTCAGGGTGGGAGGATATGCGAGAGGATATGTGTGTTTATTTAATTAGCAATCCATTGGCTGAGGGGAAACCTCCTGACCCTGGGTGGTGTTCATTTGCATGTATTGAGTCATACTTTTGGTGTTCTTCAGGACTGGTAGACAAACTTTGTTTACTTGCAGTGTTTCTACTTTCCTGTTGAAGATGTCCAAGTGTTGGTGGATTCCAATGGCCTCCCTGTGCATTCTGACCTGGTAGTTGCTGGCATGCTCCAGAATTTCAGTGTTTTCAAATAGCATTATATGCCAAAGTTGGTTTATGATGTGCTCTGCTACTGCCACTTTTTTTCTGGCTAGTTTAGGAGATTATCAGAAGAATGGCTTAGGATGGGAGCAAAGTGGATTGCTCCCATCCCATTCACACAAATGGGGGAAAGATTATCACACCCCATGCACTTCTCCTATCCTTCTGCCATCCATGAAGTGTAATGGCTCCATCATTTGGTATTAATGGGAGCGGAAATCTTTCCCCCGATTGCACAAATGGGATGGGAATAATCCACTTTGATCTCGTCCTTGTCCCTCTGTGTGATAATCTCCTTTGATCTGTGTTTGAACACTGTGTTTGGTGGTTCCTATATAGATCTGCCCCCAGCAGATCCTGTAGCAGTGTCTTTCCTGTCCTTTGCTGAGTGCACCATACAGACTGACCAAGAACTCCAGTGAATGCAGCGCTCAGAGAGCCATTGTGGTTTAGTGGTTTGAGAGTTAGACTAGGGCTCTGGGAAACCTGGGTTCCAATCCCTGCTTGGCCATGGATAGTGTCAGGGACAGCCAGGTTGAGGACTTGGA